CCAAGGCAATAGCTGCATCACACACACACACCAAAAAAGAAAGTCACAGATGCAAGCAAAATATGGGCAATCTGGCTTTAATAGCCAAAGTCAACATCTGCCCTGTGGTGGGACCCTCAGAGACAGACAAGACATGGCTAAGATGTGACCCCTGCAATTCAGGAGAGGGGTTTCCTCTACGGAATGCTAAATTCAGGCAGGTTTAGAGATGAATGAAAACTGCACACCATAAGGGACGGCCAGGAATAGAAAGCCCATGTGGGGGAAGAACGCTCTAGATGTAGCAAATGCATTTCCAAGAGGCTTTTATCATTCTTATTTTGTCACTACTATCAACAATAATAAGAAAAGAGCTTACAGAGCAGCCTCCCCAATCCCTGAGCAATGCATCCAGAGATTAGCAGCAGAGAGCAGTGGGCAGCAGAGAAAAGCTGTTCAAGGAATGTAGAGGCATGCATAATGAGATTATGGAATTGGAGTTGCATGTTTTCAAGGATAAATGTGATATTATTGCACTGGCAAAGACATAGCAGGAGCAGGGGAAAGGATGAGAAATAGCCTGTCAGAAGGGAGGGATTGCTGCAGCTGAGCTCCAACAGGACAGGGACAAGTGGGAAGTGGAGGCAGCGAGGAGGAGAGGAAGTGCACATCCTACTTGACATGCAGATATGCAGAGAAGCTTTTTGCAAAGTGGGTGATGTCATCGTGTTTTTCTCAGCCTTCAGGACAGCAAGAGAAAAATAGATGAAACCAGCACATGCAGAGGAGTCTGTAAGACGAGTAGACTTTTTTCCCCCCCTCTCTGTGCAACACTAATTGCTCAAATATTGATCGGGGAAATAATTTGTGAGGACTAAAGAAGGAAAAGAAATCCTTTCTTCTTAAGAGGCAAAAAGGGCAATGTTTTTGCAGAGTTGCTGGAAAGGTCCAGGTGATCAGAGAATTTCCAAAACCACATAAGTTAAGATGTTCAGTTGGTCTAGATTTTATTTGTTTATACTGGAAAACATGAAACAACTGCAGTCTGTGATTTTTTTAGGATTCTACATGAAGTCTAATTGGAATTACAGCTAGGCTGGTTCTCCCAAGGGGCACAAGTGTCTCACCAAGCTGGTGAGAGACCCATAGGTCACAACTAGCCTTGGTTAGTAGAAAGCAAAAGCTTCAGGAGGGACTTTGGCAAGCCAGGGCTGCCAGCTGGGCTGTGGGTGACAGGAACCAGCTGCCCAGGCTTCGCCTTGGCGAGAGAAAGAGCAATTAGAATGAAAAGCCCAAACCAGAGTGCTGGAGCACTGCTAGCCACTACTGCCCTGGCATGGACACGAAGGCTCAGGGAAAAGCAGCAGTTCTGCTTGGCTTCTGGAGAGCTGCTTTTCTTCCCTGAGGAAAGGAAAAGGAAAACTACCGTGCAACAGAATCTAAGAGCTACTCCAGAAAATATCTGCACCTCATCCTCTTCTAGGGTAAATCCTGACAGAAGTGAGCACCAGAGAGTCATCTGTGGTTAAAAATGGATGTTGGGAGTACACCAAAGTACAAGAAGAATACCATTAAAAAAACAAAAACAAGAATCAACCACCAAACTATCAAGATAGACTGGCAGAATGATAAAAATAAGCATGAACATGCAAAAACAGTGACTGCAGAAGAGGAAGAAGCATCCACAAAGCCTGCAGTGGGTATTTCTCAGAGATATATAGGCAAATAGCCACAGGAAGCAGGAGAATCAGACCCTTTGAAATATATTCTAGGGTTAGAGAGAGATGAATGGAGAGTTTTATTAAATAACTGCCCGATAAATATTTTTTAATTTGGTGGAGGGCAAGTCCCTCAGTTCTCAATTTTGTGCACAGGGGTTTTCCCACTGGACAAGATAAGTGCAAGGGAGCACAGCACAGTGAGGGCTTCCAAGCTCAGTGGACTGGTGGGTGAAATGTTTTGGGCACAGCCTGACCCTGGGGAAGGGCTGGGGTGCTGCCCTGACACCTCACACATGGACAGTGCAGCTGCAGGGACAGGAGAACAAACATCCCTCTGGCAGTGCTGGGGGTGACAGCAAGGAGGGCGTTCCAACAGCCATCCAGTGCCTCAACCAGAAATCTGAAGGCTCTCAAAGAGGGGTATTATAAAATACAAGAGAGTTCTCTCAAGTCACGTACGGGGTGAAGCCTCACATATAAATAAGACCCTGCCTGCCGTGAGGTGCTTAGTTTAAAAGCCAGACACAGTAGTCAAAAGATACAGGTAAATCCCCAGTGGATAAGAGAGCAACAAAAATTAGGATCTGGGAGATTCTTTTCCTATTTGAATGCTGTTTTCTAGCCTGGGGTACATCACATATAATCTCATTTAAGTAAATAATAAATATAAAATCCACAAAACAAACAAATCAAAACCAACAACAACAGAAAAACAGCAAAAACAAACCCCTAAAACGCAAACACAAATAAAAGACAACTCACTCAGCATTTAACTGGTCCCAGTATAACCCTGAGAAGTTCTGCAGTAAGCTGGTATGGAGGGGTCAGGTCAGGTGCTGTGCAGAAAATGTTAAAATACAGCCAATGCTGACAGCCAAGGCCCCCCATGCTGGAGCAGGGGTCGGACAACAGGCACAGCTACAGAAGGATTGTGATAGCTTTGGGGAAGAACCTGCATTTGTAGCCATTTTCTTGACTTCTTAAAGAGAAGAAGTATCTTGTATTTGTTGAGTTTGTTACATGAAAAACCCTTTGCATTGAGTCACACAAGTCTGAAGAGGACAAATATGCAACAGTAGTTCAGGTTTCCCCAACAGTGGTTTTAGGCCCTTGTGTGACATTAAACCTCACAACAGTTTACTTTGTTCCCTCTCCACGGGAACAGTTTGAGCTCTCAGACCTGGCAAAGCAGATGGAGTCTGGCTTGAGGAGAGGTGACAGAAGTTCCCGGAGGCCCATGGCCTCAGCGAAAGTGCTCCACGGAGCGCCAGCTGAGGAAAGCTGGCCAGGAGCTGTCAGGCAGAGGCTCAGATTTAGCAAACGCAGCCCAAAAGGGAGCCTGGGCACAGCTGGATAGGTCAGATAACAGGTCAGGCTGCCAAGTCCCTCTCCCCATGTCCTTCCATCAGAAGCTGAAGAGTGAGTCCAACCTATTCGATACGTGGATTGAATTTTCATGAAGGTGATCAAAGCAAAGGGCATACTCTGGCTCGAGGGGAAAGCTATCCACCAGCAGGGAGCAAATCGGATAAAGAGTAGGCTTAGCCACGCTTCTGTCCCTGCCTGCTAAGCTAATTGTTCATCAGACCCGTTTTCCCTGCTACACTTGAAATGAGGGGGAATCTGGTTTTGGGGACTGCTGGAATACTTGAGGTCTGAGAACATGCAGCATCACTTTCATTGCAGTAATGAGGGCACAGAATGGCAGCTTTAAATGCTAAGGGTAATGATGCATTACCGTTCACTCTCAATTAATCCAGAGCCTGCAATGCCGAGTGCACTTACTCCGAGAATTTTCTCAGAAAATGAAGCTAGAGTGTATTTCATTTATAAATCACAAAAGACACTTATTTGGCAAGAATAACCCCTGCTCATATACAATAAATCATGAACATCAACAGTCTCTAATGGATTTTGAGTCAGTGCCACAGACAGTGAAGCCCAGGGCCTGTGTTTCAGGATTCCAGGACTGTGCCAAAGGAGCCTTATAAATTATTAATGCATTCAGCACAGTGTCATCTGTGCCACTGGAGAAAATGAGACATTCTGGGGCTCCGTTTGTCATTAAAAAAGTAATAATGGGTTCAGCAGGCGGACCATGCCTCTCCCATCCCTTGCCAGGATGAGCCAGTTAGCTCCACACTTCATAAAATCCCTTCCCCAAACTTTCGCACATGCTCTTGGTTCACGATGAGCAGCATTTAGAGAAGAGAAAAAGAGAGGAAAAGAAGAAGGCTGTTTTCACAAGTAGCCCACCAAAGCCAGACTTCCAGAGGGACTTCCAGAGCTAAGGTTTGCGTTCACAAATCTTGTGACAGGGAGGTGCATCACAGAGGTAGCTGGGGCCTCCTTCTACTTTGCCATACAGTGAGGATGTGGGTACATAGAAAATTCAAGTTTTGGTCCCTACTGCTCAGTCTCTCATGCTTTTCAGTTATTCATCCCACAGTTTTCAACCTCTCCCCCTTCACTTTTGTCCCCATGGTTACTGAATCACTGTGTTCACAGAGATTCTCCTCACTAAAGAAAATGTGACTAACATGAGGCAGCTAAATTATCAGAGCCAACTCTGACATTGGTTTCTCCCAACATGGATCTTATCTTCGAAACGCCTTCAAATAGATCTGTTGCACTGGTACCAACTTCAAAGTAAGCAGCACTTCAGCTATTGACAGAGACAGAGCTGCATAAGTAATGCACAGGGAGACTTAAAATAGGCTGGATTCAGGTAAACATTCAAACACCAGCTTAAGCAAACCCACAGCCTAGGTCTGAATGATACAAATAACTAAGAGATGCATTTCACTGGAAAAAAATTAAATCAAGCCCTAGAAGGGAAGGCATTGTTTCCTCATTGGACCTGGGTCTAAGAGTTCGAGCAGATGCAGATACCCTCTTCTTGAAGGCCAGTTTGGTTGAGCAGCAGGAGACATGCTTGTTTTAGGCCCAAAGAAATCTCTACTACAAACTGCACCAAAACAGACCACTGGATAACAAGTGTAAAACCTCCAGCCACAGCAATCATTGTCTGCCAACCCACTGCTTGGCGGAGCTTCCCCCACACTGAGTAGCATAGGTGACCCCAGGCAAGTTTAAACCAGATCACCTCCAAATTAACCAGAAAAAGATACAATAAAACTTGATTGCATCGGAGAGGCCTTTCTCCCCTTGACTTACAGCATCTGGCCAGCCACAAGAACCCAGACACTAAAGCAAGGGCAGCAGGACAACACTTCATGTAAGCACCACCAGCCATAAGCCAGCAGAGACAAGACTTGAGAACAGACATGGAAGTCTTACCTTGGCCGCTACGGAAGAGTTGGGCTTCTCCAGGAGGTCCCAGAGCTTTTTCCTTTTCTCAGCACAGCAAGTGTTATCGAATTCCTCCCCTTCCCTTTCCCTCAGGGTCTCAGCTTCTCTCTTCAGCTCCTCGTTCATCTGCTCCTTCTTCTGGTGGTAGCGGGCCTGGCAGCAGGACTCCAGGTAGATCTCGTCCACCCCCCAGTAGTCCAGCTCCTGGCTGAAGGACAAGGCGCACATCTCCTCCATCATGTGCAGCTTGCCAGTACGGTAGAAGTTCAAGATTGAGGTGAATGCCCCGGGATGCCTGTCGAAGAAGTACTCGTTCTCCTCCAGGTTGTAGTCATCACAGATCTCCATGAGGGAGTCGTGTGTGTTGCAGTCTCTGAGCTTACCCAGCCTGGTCCGCGGCAACCTGTCCAAGGTCCGCCAGAGAACCTCGTGGGCCAGCCCCCCCACGTTGAGCTTGACCCTTCGGGAGCAGGCCTTGCTCCTGACGATCTCAGTGGGGTCCGGAGGCAAAGAGGTAGTAGAGCGAGATCCATGCTTGTTCATCCCCAGAGGCATCGCTGGTCCCCCTCAGGCTGGACGCTCCAAGGTGCGGCGCGGGGCAGGGCGCGGGGGCCGGCTCTGCTCACCTCTCCTTCCCCTCCATGCCCCAGAGCTGCAAGAGAGGCCGCGCGTGGGTCCCCGCCCGCCGCCCCGCTAATCTGCGGGGGGGGCGCGGCGCTGTCCGCCCGCCGGTGCTGAACCGCGCCCGGCCCGGCCGAGCCCGCCCGCTCCCACGTGCGGCCGGAGCCGCCACCGAGCTCCCCCGGGCGGCGGCCGGGGCTCCCCCCGCCCCGGCGGTCCCCGCACGCCCCGTCCGCCAGGGATGCGGAGACCGAGCACGGCCCCGGGAGCCGCTGGTGGCCGGCGGGGCGGGCACGGGGTGGCCCCGAGCACCGCTGGGCGAAGCGCCCCAAAAAGGCGCCGAGGCCGCCAGCCAGGGGAGCGCTGGCACCGCGTCCCCCATCCCGGAGCGCCCGGGCCCGCCGGACCCCGGGTGCCCCCACGACCCCGCAGGGCAGCCCTCCCCTCGGAGCCGGCGGTGGCCCCCGCCCTGCCCAGCCGTGTAGGCTGTGGGGGGGGATGAGGAGGCTTTTAGTAACTCCAGCCTTGCGGATTCCCCGAGGAAAAAGCTGGGACAGGGAAAAGGGGGGGATTTCCAGCCACTCTAACGACGCGCTCTGCCTCTCTGGGCTGCCCAGGGACGCCCCCCGCACCCGCACGCCGGCCTCTGCATAACCGGGAAAGCAACGAAAACGGCAATAAGGAAAAACCCCGAGCCTGCCTTAGGGAACCGAGTGGCTCATGACAGCCCCGAGCACTGTTGCTTACACAAGATGGCACGAAGAGAAACCCCGGCCCAGCCAGGAGCGGCTCCTCCGTGCCCAGCCGGCACAGCCCGGGGTCGGCCCCGTCCCCGCCGACCCAGGTTCCCCCAGACCCAAAACCGAACCCCCGCCTCTGCCTCCCGGCCGCCGCCGCACACGAGGAGAGGCTCCCCTGTCTCGGCCCGAACCCAGCCGTCACCTACCTCCTCCTGCGGGCTCCCAGCGAGGCGGTGCGGGGTGTGCGGGGCCGAGGGCGGCTACATCCTGCGGCGGGGCGGGCGGCAGGGGCGGCCCCGCTCGCATCCCCCCGCGGGCAGCCTCAAGGCGGAGGGATGGCGGCGGCGCTCCCGGCTGTCCACGGAGCCCAGGGGGAGGGGAAGGGAAACGAGGTAAATCGTATCCTTCGGCAGGAAGCTTTCCAAGGCCTTCCCTCGGCTGCGGCTCCTCACTCCTGCCTACAGCCAGCGCCGGAGCCGCGTCTGCCCCCGCCCCCAGCCCGTTCTCCGTGCAGACACAAAGGAAAGCTCCGGTGCTTCCACCCGCTGCCTCGGAACGGAGATCAACAAGTGCAGCCCGGAGCTCCGGCGTTGCCGAGCGCGGCTGTCCCGGCGCGGGGCGGGCGGGCGGGCGCGGGGCGGACCGGAGGAAGGGCAGCTCCACCGTGAGCTGGAGCCCAGCATTGCAGCGCCCCGGGGCCGCTCCGCACCGGGGCATCGGGCAGACCCTCCCGGGGAACTGCAGCCTCCCTCCCTAAGGCGAGGGGGCTGTGCCGCCAGCTCCCGGTGCCATCACCCGTGAAAGCAGGAGGGAGCGAGGGCTGGTGCCACAGAAACGCGATGAGCGGAGAGCGCCAGTCAGCCCAGCAGGGCCCCCGTTGCCTCGCAGACGGTTCCTCGCCGAACCGGGAGCAGCGGAGCTCAGGAAGGCTGCTCATCGCCCAGGTGTGAGGGCGAACCGGGCCCTCGCCCCCACCCCAGCTGCCCCTCATCGAATGAACGAGACTGTTCCCGGGATGGTTGCAGATATTTACAGAAACAGAGAGGAGGAATAGCGGTAGATCTCTAATGCCGATTAGGACCATAAATATAACGTAAAGGAGCATTTACTAACCTGAGAACACAGCAGAAATTGAGAAAACGGTGACTTTCCTGGCAGCCCCACAGCAAACAAAGTGCTCCTCTGTCCTTCCTGCCTCCCTCCCTCCTTCACTCCCCACAGGGAAAATGGCCCTCACTAGGCGCTCGGAGCTCCATTAGTACCAATTAGCATCACTTAGTGCAGTTCACCTGTTCGGACTGGTACCAGGGGCACACACGGCTGTGCTCATTAGCCCCTTCTCCTCTTGCATTGATTGACCACGGCTCTTGGACTCTAGCGACAATTCCTGCTACAACGTTTCTGAAATAGGAGCCTGGTGTCTGATTTTATGTGATTAACTAGGAAAAAAAGACTTTCAGTGCTGCTTTTCCCCACTTTCTATGCTTCTCTCCCTAGTCCCTGCCTTCCTCCTGTTGCCCCGTGTACGCCTTGTCAGTGTTACATGTTATATTTGGTGTTTGAGTGCCCACATTTTCTTTAGAGGTCGCCTTCTGAAATCTCAAGCAGTGTTTGTTTTTCTGCAGTGTCTCTCACAACTGTATATAATCTGTATATTTAGAAATTTCTTACAAGAAGTGGCTCACTGCCTTCCTTTTGGAGATGAGGAAATTAAGATAGAGAAAAGTAAGATCACTCAGAGGGGAGGTGGAAGGAAGAATTGGGAATAAAACCTGTTGATCAGCTTAATCCCAGTCCAGTGCTCCTCTAGTGAAGTAGCTCCTCCTACCCCACCAAAACCTCCCATACAGGACAGACATTAGGGCAGTATCCAGAGTTGTTCTGTTGCTTTTTCATCATTTCACCTCCAGACCCTGCTTTAACGCCTCTTACAACAGAGATTAAACCCCCGATCAAGGCTAGGAAGCTAAATCTGTTAATGATTACAAAGTGCTTTGAAACTTCCAGCTGGCAGGTGCTGTAGGAGAACAAGAGTTTGTTTGTCAGCACTGGCCTAGGGGTACATTATCTCGCCTCGTGACAAACGCAGGAGGAGGATGCTGGGAGGGAGAATGACAAGTAGCCTAATGCAGGGAGATGCATCACATTCACCACTCTAAATCACTGGGACAGAGGCAACTTGGGTTTATTAGCAGGGCATCTGTGTCTTCCTGCACCGTTCTTGCTCCCCTGCCACTGCCATTCATGTGTCCTGCCAAGAGGCTGGAGAACCCCATAGAGGGGGCACTTGGAGGGGCAGAATGGCAGCACAGGCTCCTGCACTGCTGGGAGCTCTCAATTCCACATGGGCCAGCACTGAAAATTGTACTGGTGGAAGCTGGGAGAGGGAGTCCTGCCCAGGGCAACCCCTCCAGCTGGCTGTGCCTGGGGTAATCCAGGAATCTGGGGAGAGGAAAGGATATTTCCACCCCCAGGATGGCTGTGCCCTGCAGAATGTCATATCCCACACAGAGAGTTTGTCGGCAAGGGGCAGTGCAGGCCTGAGGATGCAGAGATGTGCAGTCTGCTCACTCTTCTCCAAGGTTATTTCACCCACTCTTGGTTTGGATACACCTTTCAATTGATATTTTTGTACTCTGAGTTTTGCAAACTTAATTTATGGTTTGTTATTTCCCCAGCCTCTGGAGCCAGCCAAATGATTGGATGCAGTCTGTGGCAAACCCTGTTTCTCTCCAGGTTTTACAGCAGTTATTGACAAGGAAACACCTTAAACACCAAGTACTTTAGAGGAAATACACAGAGTACGGCAAATAAATGTTCTCCTGGGCTTGCAGTCAGTGGAACAGACATCTGGATTTCACTGCCAGGCAGAAAAGGTCTGTAAGGCAGTGTTTGTTGAGCTACAACATTAAAGGGAAATAGGCTGAGCCTAAATGTGGAAATATCCCTCTGCTGATCTGCAGTGACTCCTCTGCCTGCATAAGGAAAAGTATCACATCTTCCCAAACACCCACGCCTGTACAACAGTCTGGCATCTTCCTGTCCGTCCTGCGAAGCAAGAGGGGAGGCTGCTTCACGTCCTTTTACTGGTCACAGGAAAACAAAGGGCTGTGAGAAAAGGGAGGCTCTTGGCCCTCCTGTGAGCCAGCGCTCAGCCCCCTCACAGTGGTGGCGTGTGGGACAGAGGGTCTCCCACAGAGAGGGGCACAGCCGCTCTGGTGGCCCCTGAGCTTTGGCCCATTCCCCATTGCTGAGTTTCGCATTCTAAAATGAGCTCTAAGATGTAACAATAACCCGCACTGTTCTTGTAGCTTGAGGGCCTTGTGCTTATCCTCGGGAGTGGGAAAGGCAATCATGCACAATAAACTGTCTCTCTTGCAGAGTGTTTCCTATTATGCCCCTTTAAGGATTCCCTTAGTTTCCAGGGATTTTCTTTCCAGACTGGAAACACTTTAGGTACAATGGAGATTTTCTTTTATGGCCCAAAGTCCTTTCCCTTAAATGGGGAAAAAAAATTATCAGGTTTCTTGGCAGAGATCCATAGCGAGTGTTGAAAAGTGCAAAAAGAACTGAGATGGATAGTGCTTGTGCTACCGAGAGCCCAGCAGCATGGAAATACTGGAATACCAGGATAAAAGACTGGAAGCAGACAGCAAAATACAATCCAAAAGCAAACCTTAGAGAAAGAAGAGTCTCCTCAAAAATCCTAGGCAGAGCTTGGATCCAGCACTTGGATGATGCCAGCAGCAGCTGAGCTCCATCCTCCCCTGCCAAAAGCCCCTTTTGAGGGAATTCAGCTGTGGTTGCTATGGGGGAGTGGGTTCTGCCTGCATGGGGTGAGCCCTGGTCACCACAGCTTTCCTGACCCCTGGCCTGCCCCAGCCTGCTCCACCATACACTCTTGCCCTCCACTAGCTCCTTCTCTCACCAGGGTAAAAGAAAGCCTTTTCCTAATTGTTTACTTATATTTACAAGTCTGTAAGAGCTTGTAGGTCCAGAAAGCAGAGCCTGACCTCTGCCAGGCTCTCTGGATCCTCAGAGAAGCCCCAAAGGACCTGCACGGGCTGGGCTGCTGAACAGGATATCTGCAAAAGTGAGAGATGGAGAGAGGAAGAGCAGTGAGGTCTCAGCAGGAACCAGGGAGCAAATGACCCTTGGCAGGAGGCAAAGTCTCTGAAGGCTGTCTCAGCTATGGAAAAGGCAGGTGAGGACAGCCCTCTCTCATTTTTGGGACGACAGTAGCCACAGGGGGACCCTGTCCTGTAAAGAATAGAAGTTTTCAGCTTGCCTAAAATTTTCAGATGCATTTTGAAGTCCCAGGACTACCCAAAGCCCCCCCATTTCAGGCAGGCTCCCCTCCCTCCTGCCTCCTCGAGGAGGGGCTGACCAGTGCTGCATCCCTGCTTGCCTGGCACTGCTCTGCCAATGGCTCCTGCTGCTTAGCCAACCTTGGGCTCCTTTGGCCTTCAGGAAGAGGGCAGGAAACACGCCAGTGCATATTGGTTATCAGAGAAGCTTCTGGTTCAGGTTCCCACAAAGCACATTCAGAGCCATCCCCCTTGGCTCCAGCTTTCTGCCTTTCCCAGGATGTGCATTTCCTCCTGTGCATCTATTCAGTCTCTGTCTGTGCTCACCGACCACAAGCATAGACCCCGTGGCTCCTCTTCCCAAGGATGGCTCCATCAGATCCACCTTTCCTCTTATCTTGATGAGGATGATTCTGGGAGACTGGCTGAAAGCTATTGGAAGCACCAGCCTATTCCCTAAGGTGTGTAAAGCATCACCTCCTGGCTGCATCTGTCTTGTTCACGTCAGGTTTGAGAACAAATACAATTGCTTCAGGAAGGAAAAATGCACAAACCTTTCTCTAGTTGAGGAATAAAGTCCCCCAGTGGGCCGATTTGTCCCTGTCATCCAGCTGCTAGGGAATTTGCAAAAGGACCTGAGAAATTCTCTCCTGCCTGTCAACCCTGTAGGCCAAACACTTGGGGGCCCCTGCCCAGGAGGGACTGGTGGCAGCAGGACTCCCCCAGCCCCTATACCTCACAGAGGAGCTAGGGGATGGATGTTTCCTCCTCTCAGCTTTCACTCTTCAGGCAGGGCTGGCACTGAGGGAAAAACAGCCGCCTATATAATATGTTATCTAACATTTAGCTTGAAGCACTGAGCCCTGGGAAGCAATTGGACTTGCCTTGTTATTCAGCAACTGCAGATTTATTAGCCCCTGAAGGGCTGAAGGCTCACATTAATCATCACTCAGGAGGGAGGGCAGCAGAGCTGGAGGGGTCAGCCAGTCTTCACAGCGGTGGAGACGTGGCCTCTCTCGCAGAGATGACCAAGTGCTCACCCATCCAGCCACTTTCTGCTGAGGATTCCAAATGGCCCTGCAGTCCTTCACACCCTTTGGGGCTGTGGCACCCCACCCCCATGTGACTGCACACAGATTGGGCAGTCTTTGGGGAGAGCCAGGGCAAAGGTCCTGGATGCAGTATCATTCCCAGGAATTCCGAGGCAGGAGGCCCTGCCTGCCTTCCCTAAGCTCCCGCCATGGTCAGCATGCATACATGCTGATTGCCCTGAT